CTCTCCTCTCCCCTCCCTCCTCCTGTCCCCTCCCTCCTCCTCTTCTCCTCATATGGCAACATTGAAAGGGCACATTGTAGACAAAAACGACTTTGGCATTAACAAGGTCTGGCTGAGTGAGCCTTTGCCTTTGCTCTTTTACTTTTCATCCTTCATTTCCTAGACGTGCCACCTCTCTCGTGTAGTCCCCATTCGTTCCCTAAGCAGATGTCTTATTTTTCAGTGATTCTCTCCCTCTCTGGATTTCAGACACTGTTAGCCACCCCATAGACCATCCCAGTCAAATCCCACTTCTGTTCCGACACACAGACATGCAGACAAAAAGTTCACTTTCCATCTGGAAACTCTGTGATCCCGGAATGAAGAAAACAAAGGGCCAGCAAGATAGTTCAGCAGACTAAGCGCCTGCTTAGGCAAGCGTGGGGACCGGGTTCGAGCCCTGGCCACCCATGCTGCGCTGGCCCCACCCCCAGGCATGCTGAGCCGGCCACTGAGACCAGACGTGGTGGTGTTTGCCTGTAATCCCAGCGCTGGGGAGGCTGAAAACAAGAGGAGCACTACTAGTTTGAGCCGCGTAGTAAGACCCTGTACCAAATACATTACAAAATAATAATAATTTTAAAAGTAAATGTGTGTATTGTACGGTCTGTGAATTATATCACAGTGAAGCTGTTTGGAGAGCAAAAAAGTCACTATTTTTCTGAAAAGAAGCCCTGGGCATGGGACGGCCAGGTAGCTCAGCGGTCTACCGTTCCTGCTTAGCAAGCTTAGGCAAGCGCGCACAGGGACCACGGTTTGATCCCTGGCGCCACATGCTGCACCAACACCGCCCCCAGGGTGGGCTGAGCCTGCCAAAAAAAAAAAAAAAAGAAGAAGAAGAAGAAGAAGAAGCAGCAACAGCAGCAGCCCAGGACTTGAATCCTGGCTTTTCTGCTGCTGAGCAATGAGAAGGACAACAAGGCACTTCTGACGAGGGCTGTTTCCTTATCGGTAAGGAGGGGACAATAATTACCTGCTCTCAGGATTGTCGGGAGATTTAATGACATCACAGAAACAAGCCCCCGACATCTCGCCGGTAATTATCACCCCATGGTACTAAATGCGACACAAATGGGGAGCACACTACTACGGTGCCCCGTGTAAGGCTCACATTTGAAATAGGACACTGAGATGCGCAAGCATCAGGGAGTCCTGATACCAGCTGAGGGCGGAGCCATGCCCACCCCCCCACCCCCACCCCTGGAAGGTGTTCTCGGTCCAGGCTACAGGTCTAGGGTAGGACAGGGGCTACTTGTGGTGAGCCGGCAAGTATCTGGACTACATGAGAGAGGCTCTGGTGTTGCCCGCAGGGGCTGGGCTCCAGGCAGGAGAGGAGGGCCCTGCCCTGCCTCTGGTGATTTTTCCTGTGTGAAGCACAGAAAATGCTTATTTGCTGACCGAATTTCTGGCCTGTGCCCGTGCTGGGGTTGCCAGTTGCCTTACCATGTCCCAGGGTGGCTTTCTCTTCTCCCTGCCTCTCTCCCTGGACTTCAAACTCAGTGGCAATGGCACTGCCCCTCTTGATCTCCTCACTCTCGCCCATGCCACCTGTCCTTCCTTGCCCTACACACAACCCTCGCTGGACTCAGCCCTCCGCCTGTCATGGGTGCACCCCACAGCCCAGTGGCCAGCGACCCAGCTCTGGCTGTTAGCTGGAGCCACCTGGGAAATACTAGAAACTACCAATGCGTGGGCCTCACGAAATTCTGATATAATCAGTCTACAATGGGGCCTGGGCACTGGTGACTTCTAATGGCAGCCCTGTCATGCACCTCTGTGACCAAGACCTAGCACCACTCCCTGGCCCTTCCTGGCTTTGCTTGGGTTGTAGCAGCAGCTTTTTAGTTTTCCCCCCTCCATCTCAGCATGGACTCCCCCTCTTGGCATGTGTGGAGACCATAAAAGCCACAGATGGTTTGTTTTCTCCACATATCAATAAAAATCACTTTCTACCTCAGTTGCTATGATGTGGAGCAGATCAGAAACAAAGGTTTCTCATTCTTCTGGTCATTGTTTCCAGCCCTTTCCTGCTGCGGGACCCTGGCTCAAGAGACAGAAGACGCCCTGCGCTCCAGGCAGCCTCTCCTTCCTCGGCCACCTCTCATTCACACCTTCATCACACACCTGGGACCCCAACCTTTCCCTCTGTCCACCTGTGCCCTTTTGGACCAAGGCCCCTCATTGTGGGTTCTTCGCTCAGCCCTTCCACACTACAGCCACCTAAACGAGACCGTTGTAAGCAGACAGCCCGGAGGCTCTGCTGGCTAGGCATGTCTACATGTGTGAATCCCCTTCTCGCAGCCCACAGACACACAAACTTGTGTCTCCACGGGGTTGAAAGGCCGCAATAGATTTACTCTAAAGCCACTCTGGAGGCAGCGGCCAGGGCTGGAGCCACTTTATCAATGCCATTTCCCAACTTGCACTCCTACTGAGATGAAGAAATTTAGGGAAGACTTACCTTGAATCCTCAAATGAAATTCTTTATCCAACACACTTGTTCCGTTTGTATTGTATATGATGACTTTGTAGGTACTGTTAAAACTTCTCTCCAGATGTTTAATGACCAGAGTTCCATTCTGTAATATCTCGTACGTTTTGTAGAACTGGTGGGGTTTCTTGCCTCTGAGCTGTGCCACCTTCCTCCCTTCTCTCTCCCATCGAACCTCATTGATAGCATCACTCATTTGAAAATCGGGGACATTCAGGCTCACGTCTCGACCCAGGGCACCCCAGATGACACTAAGATCCTCGAGGGAAGAACCTGTAGAAAGCAAAACAGTCGCTGAGGTCTCGAGACTCTGGCAGAAAACGCCAGGCTGTGAGCTCTTTCTTTCTTTTTTCTTTTTGCAGAACCAGCGATTGAACTCAGGCCCTTGTGCTTGCCAGGCAAACGCTTACTCTACTGAGCCTTCTCCCTGGCCCCCTGTGAGCTCTTTCACTCTTGTGCTCGCTGCTTCTTCGGACGTCTGAAGAAGCGTCTCCTAGTGAGAGTGAAGACCCAGAGACCAACTTACCTTTCGTGGAAAAGCTGAAAAGCAGAAAGAAACTCGCTAAATGTTTGTATGGGAGGTTCATGGTTGGGATTCTTTTCTGTGCTGTGATTCTGAGCTCCTCTTGCAAAAGGAACTAAGAAGAGGCTGGTGGGACCCACCCTCTGCGGATGGCACCACGTGTCACCGCTCGCAGGCAGGAGCAGGCACTCACACGCTCCTCAAAGCGCTCACACACTTCTCAAAGCACCGGGGCTGCTCCGGCTGCTGCGCCTAGCAGGTGCACTCGGGAGCCTGTGATTCCTCATCACAGTGTAACTCTCACCAAAAGAAAAAGAAAATGAGAGGAGGTGAGGTTTACTACCCCACTGATGAGAAAAGGAACTGAAAAGTCTAACAGGGTCCTCTTTCTGTAAACAAAGAGCCAGATTTAATACCACCATCCCCGTTTTATCTGCTCAGCTGCATCACCTGGAGCAGGACCACACGGAAAGATGCGCAAACGCCCATAAGCAAGCAGCAGGCTACATACATTTGTCGTATGACGGTAAATATTTAGAGATGTCTATGTAGGAATGATTAGGAGACAGGCTTCTTTTCCCTGAAAGGTACTTTTATGTTCTAAAATTGTGCATTAAAAAGAAACACAAATGGAGGAGTCTCAACCGTAAATGCTTCCAATCTCCAGCTCTTATGTTGAACATCCATTTCACAACTTTATTGAAATTCACAGGTGAATAAAAACTCACTGCAAAGCACAGAGGCTACGCGTGCCACTGCGCAGCCAGCTGAGCTGTACCCAAGACACTTAACGTGATGGACAGCTAAGAAGGGGGACTATAAAGTAAACAGAAGGCGAGAACCAGAAGGAGAGCAAAGACATCTGCGAAGCCAGGAGGGGGACAGGACCCTCTGAACCACAGGATCAGAAGGAGGGACCAGCCCAGTGACGTGACAGGTGGCCAAGGTACATTTCCATTTTTATCACTGTTTAGGGCACAGTGAGTAAACATCTTTGAGGTTTTGGAGATTTTTTTTTTTTAAACCAGCATCAGTTACAAATATGGAGATTATTTTTCAGAAAGTGACCCAGGAAATGAAATTAAGGCACACCACTGAATTTCTTCTATCATGTAAAAGGAAGCCTAAAGATAATATTTTATCATACTTGTGTGGCAAACTCCTATCTAAAAACATCCACAACAAATTGAATTAAAATTTTAAATGTTAAAAAGTACTATAATAATACCTAAAAGGCAATCCAGATAGATATTTTTACATTCTTGAGTATGGACGAGCTGCCTACACAGACAATACAACCCAGAAGAAATGCAGAAAAGACGGGCAATTATGTCTACGATTATGGAAACTTAAAAATGTAAAATTATACCATTTTCATATATATTACAAATATTTTGTCATTTTATTTATTTTGTCCATTATATCTTTCATTAACCAACAAGAAGGAAGATTTTTAAAGAGGGCTAAAAATGTAAATTATCAGTTTGCAGAAGGGTCACTATGAGTCCAAACTGCATAGCAAGATTCTGTATCAAAAGATTGTAATTGAGGCTTACAATTAAAAAGTAAAAAAAGTAAAAAATTAAAAGTAAAAAATAAAGAAATATGAGACCTATGAAAAATTAAAAAGTAAAAAAGTAAAAAAGTAAAAGTAAAAAAATTAAAAAGTAAAAAATTAAGAAGTATGAGACTTATGAAAAATTCTAATGTTACCACAGAGTATAAATATCCTAGCTATAAAATAGCATTCTATTTCAAAAGTATAAAAAATATAAATTATTTACATGAATGTGGGGATAGATAGGTAGCCTCATACAATATTAGAGAAATCTAATCATATATTTGAAGAGATGGAATTTGGCAATTTCTACTAACCTTTGAAAAATGCATTTTTTGCTCTGTTAATTTTAAGAATTCTAGCCTACACAGATGGTTGTACAGGTATACTGAAATTCAGGGCTGGGGAGATAGCTCAG